GATCCTGTCAAAAATTGGCTGTCCACAAAAGGTGCTCTCCCTAATTCAAGGAGTTCCATGAGAGAATGAAAGCAACCATCCAGTACGAAAACAAAACATCTTCCGAGTTTAGCATTGATATTAGCACGAAGCAAGGCTGTGTTTTAGTGCCTACCAGCTTTGGCATCTTCTCTATCCTTCTCAGGTATGCTTTTGGAAACTATCAACGTGGCTATCAACTAACTGAATTGAGGATGGATAGCAGCTTGTTCAACAAATTCATAGAAAATTAGGGTTGATAGAGACCTCAGGAGGCCATCTAATCCAATTCCCTGCTCAAAGCAGGACTATCCCCAACTAGATCATCCCAGCCAAAGTTGTCTAGCAAGGATGGAACTTCCACCACCTCTCCGGGTAACCTGTTCCAGTGTTTTACTACCCTCCTAGTGAGAAAAAAAGTCTTCCTAATATCTAACCTAAACTTCCCTGGCTGCAACTTGAGACCATTGCTCCTTGTTCTGTCATCTGCCACCACTGAGAACAGTCTAACTCCATCCTCTTTTGAACCCCCATTCAGGTAGTTGAAGGCTATTAAATTCCCCTTCACTCTTGTCTTCTCTAGACTAAATAAATCCAGTTCCCCTGGCCTGTCCTCATGTCATGTCCCCAGCCCCCACACTATTTTTATTGCTGTCCACTGGACTCTCTCTAATTTGTCCACATCTTTTCTGTAGTGGGGGGTCCAAAACTGAACACAGTATTCCAGATGTGGCCTCGCCAGTGCTGAATAGAGGGGAATAATCACTTCCATTGACCTACTGGTAACACACCTACCAATGCAGCCCAGTATGCCGTTAGCCTTCTTGGTGACAAGGGCACACTGCTGGCTCATATTCAGCTTATTGTCCACTGTAACCCCCAGGTCTTTTTCTGCAGAGCTGCTGCCCAGCCAGTCTGCCCCCAGCCTGTCCTGGTGCATGGGATTGTTCCTTCCTAAGTGCAGGACTTTGCACTTGTCCTTGTTTAACCTCATAAGATTCCTTTTGGCTGAATCCTCCAATTTGTCTAGGTCACTCTGAATTCTAACCCTACCCTCCAGCATATCTACTACTCCCCCCACCTTGATGTCATCTGTAAACTTGCTGAGGGTGCACTATATGCCATCTTCCAGGTTGCTGATGAAGACATTGAACAAAACCATCCCCAGGACTGACCCCTGGGGCACCCTGCTTGATACCAGCTACCAACTAGATATTGAACCATTGATTACTACTCTTCGAGCCCGATACTCCAGCCAGTTTTCTATCCACCTGAAGTTCATTCATCCAGCCTATCCTTCCTTAGCTTGCCTGTGAAGATGTTGTGGGAGATTGCATCAAAAACCTTGCTAAAATCAAGGTACACCACATCCACTGGTCTCCCCGCATCCACAGAGCCAGTCCTCTCATCATAGAATGCAATCAGGTTGGTCAGGCATGACTTGATCCTGGTGAATCCATGCCGACTGTTCCTAATTCCTCCAAGTGCTTAGAAATGAATTTCTTGAGGATAATTTTCCATGAATTTTGCAGGGACTGAGGTGAGGCTGACTGGCCTGTAGTTCTCTGGATCCTCCTTTTTCCCTTTCTTAAATATGGACACCATGTTTACCCTTTTCCAATCATCTGGGACCTCTCCTGATGGCCATGAGTTTTCAAAGATGCTGGCCACTGGCTCTGCAATCACATCAGCCAACTCTCTCAATGTCCTTGGGTGCATCCCATCTGGCCCCATGGACTTGTACACATCCAGCTTTTCTAATTAGTCCCTAACCTGTTCTTTCACCATTGAAGGCTGCTCACCTCCTTCCCAAACTGTGCTGTCTGGTGCCATAGTGTTGACTGGGAGCTGACCTTGCTTATGAAGACTGAGGCAAAGAGGGCATTGAGCACTTTAGTCTTTTCTGCATCCTCTGTCACAAGGTTGCCTCCCCCACTCAGTAAGGGACCCACACTTTCCCTGATCCTCCTCTTGCTACCAACATACTTACTGAAACGCTTCTTGTTACCCTTCAAAGCCCTTGCTAGCTGCAACTCCAATTGCATCTTGGCTTTCCTGACTTCATTCCTGCATGCCTGAACAATACTCTTATACTTCTCCCTAGTTGTTTGTCCAAGTTTCCACTTATAAGCTTCCTTTTTGTGATTTAATTTACTGATT